AGAACAGTTGAATAAGCAGAAAGAAGTTGTCAAATAAAGAAATTTACTTCGAGCTCAAAACATAACAAAACCAAGATGGCCGCTACAGGAACAAAACAATATTCCGAAGCCCGCGGTCCTCATCGGCAAAACCACAAAAGGGCGGGAAAACGAGTGGTAATTGAACAAATTTTTCCTTAATTATTTTAACACCTTCCACAACTTTTATTGTGAAAATATTTGTTAAAAATCACAGGAAGACCCTTTCTGGTTGAACTGATCAACCCGCGCCTCACTCGTCTGAAGGAGTCGTTCTTCATTGAACTTCAAAAAGAAATCAACTTTTCACATTCCGACATTGCCATCAGAAACCTCCAGCAGGTCACAAAGTAAGGGATGATGTTGCCAAACGTTATTTCATTTCACTGAAATTCCATGTGCGTATACTTTAGATAAGGGACTCGAAATTGTATCTACTGCTCAGATACAGAGATTTGTTTTGAAAATTGTTCGTAACTTTATGTTGTAGGGAGCAGTGCCTCGTCCTGAAAGACGCAGAAACCAACAAAACTAAAACTTACAAGTAAGTCCGCAATGACTGGGTTGTGTCGTGGTGGGTTCCAATCTGATAACGCCAATTTTCACAATCCTACTATCTAGAAAAAGAAACACGAGGAGAAATGGGTAAGACTGAGTCTGGAATCCAACCCACTCCCCCACCTCATAACCTTCCCCAGGCCCCTGTCCCTTCCCCCCACACTTTCAATTCCGCTTCCTACAACGAAATCTTGATGTTTTTCCTAATTGCCTTTTTGTTTGCAGGGCGTTGATATGGACAGAAAACGAAATTACTGACGAACAGCTTCAGAAACTTAATGGAATGAAGGTGAAGCTTTTCTGTTCCTTGTTTTTGTGGTAGTTTAGTCACTTTACCCATTATCACGAGCAGTTATGTGATATGAATTTCTTACCTCTTACTTTGATGTAGTAGTTTTGATTAAGACCGGATTAAACTTCAGAGAGTTAGGAATTGTACCTTATCTAGTTAGCCTCTCAGGATAAACTGAAACTTTCTATTGGTTTACGGGCGCTGAAATATACGCTGAATGTTTATATTTGAATAGCACGAGGAAAGATTCTAAAATAACGGTATAATGGTTTAGTTTTTTTAGTTGATTGCTGTAAGCGATAGCTTTTTCACCAATTAGAGTGCAACTAATTTTTCATTTTACAATTCTTCATAAAAATTTTTTCAAAACAAAGCATTTGTGATTTGTGGACACAATGCTTGGCTGATGTACACCTGTAACTAAACCTTTGGCAGCAAAAGTAAACAGCTTAGGAACTTGTCGTGGAGTTAAGCTACAGTAACTTTCCCATAAATTCTCGTGCTTCAGTGGATTTAGCATAAACTCATAGTTTATTTGGTTAATTAGAGTCTGATCCTATATTCTGTTCTTTCACTTAGGATGTAAAGATTTACCAAAAAACTCCTTTACGTGTATTACACAGGTGGTTAATTACCTTCCTTTACTATTCCGCTATTACGTCATTTTACCATATTAGGCCAACGGAACGCGCAGAATATGCCACGGTATTCCACTGTAGAACATGGTAAATATACAGACGGAAAACAGAGCAAAAAATGGCCGCACTGAACGATCCAAACTTTGATGTCTTTTCCGTAATTTAGATGTGACTTTCTTCCCCTCTCCCCCTCCCCTCACCCAACTTTACATTTTGGTAAGGCTCGTGCTGATTCGCAGACACTCTATATTTACCCCGGGTGGAGAAAGCTGAGCATCTTGCTGATGGGTTAAATTTCTGGTACAGGAGCACTATTATTTTCCACTTACAATCCCTCTTCTCGAGCCAGGTGAGATGGAACCCACCACACCCCTCTATAGGCGACTGCACTTCAGTCAGTCTATTTTGAGTCTATATCCTTACCAACATATCTAGGTACATGGCGCCAATAAAATCTAGGATAATTTTAGATTTCTTTGTACTCTCATGAAATAATTCTGTAGCAGAGGGATGCTTTGCAAGCTCAGAAGGAAAGGTTATTTGGCGTTTAAACTCCTCGTGGTCTTATTTGTTTCCCTTGAAGGCGTCCTTTGGCTGTGAGAGAGCGATATATCTTTAGCATGACAGCAGAACGCATCGACTCCAATCACTGGAATCTCTTCCTTAAAACCCAAGCAGGAACGTATCCTGACCGTCCTCAAGAGTCCCGAAGTATTGTTAAGTGTGATTGCAGCTGGAGAAATTACTCCAGAAAATTCTATGTGCGTCAATCCAAGAAGAATTTAGCTCTTTGATTTGAAGTATCTTCCTTGAGCTAAATTAGCACATCGTCAAGCAGACAAGAATAAATGCAAATTATGATTTGATTGGGGAATACTAGACGGAAAGTCAACGGCACTTTTTGTTGTTTAGCTCTGACATCCGCTTTCTTCATTAAGCATAACATGCTGGGAAGGCTGTAGAGTAAAGTTTGGAATAGCATTTCTTTACAATGAATTGAGAAAATGTATGCAAAGAACGAATAGAAAAACGACACAAAAATGTTCCACATATATATTCAAAAATTCTAGTCTGGCGCTCGGCCAACAGATTCTATTTCTTTGGTGGGTCAACTCAGAAAAAAATGACATATAAGGAAACAAAAGAAGACCCGAGCGACAAGTCGAAATTGGTGTATCCGGGATTGTATTGGTTTTTCTCTCTGATTGGTCCAGAAAACTCGCGCACTCTCTCAACCAATCAGATGCAAAACTAACCCCAATCTCTACTCGGGCGCTCGCGTCTTCCGGCGGTTTGGTTGTTTTTACTTTGAGTTCTCATTGGCTCTTCAGGGTATTTCCGTTCTTCTGATCGGCTGTTATAATTATTTTGGTTTTGGTTTTACGACAGCCAATCGAAAAGCGCTTTATAGATTGTAAGTATGATATGACACTGCATTACAATTAATAAGAGGAGACGTTTCCTTTAACTTTTGTCAAGTTATGTAAAAGAATTTGTTCATGGAGACTTTGGAAGAACAAAACCCAGTTTGGGAGATTTATTACACACTGAAACGGACATTTTGGAATTAGATGTAGAGGTAGGTTTGTAATGACTACTTAAAGTAAATTGTGTACCGTAAAGGGTTTCAAAGCTTACGTTTCGAGCGATAGCCCTTCGTCAGAGCAAATGACGTTAAGGGCTAACGCTCGAAATGTCAGCTTTGAAGCTCTTTACGGTGGTCAATTTACTTTATCAACTCAGTCGATAAAACCCAAATTACCTTGTTACTCCCTTCAACGCAGCACCTCAGTTTCTTTAGGAACTTACCTCCTTTATTTATGAACTATTTAACAAATGGTAAACACCACAGCGTACACTATTGAGTTATGGATGCACGCGGGAGGTTGCTAAGCACGAAAGAAGCGTAAGAGTCGCTCGAGGCGA